ATTTAGATAATGTTATGTTTATATTGCAGATGAAAATGAAATAAAAATACACAAATTCAGGTGACTTGCACACAGTGAGTCACTGGACTCCTTCACCCACCTGCATCATAAACTCCTCTACATATTCAGTAAATCTCCAGATATTGCTTTGAATAATTCGTGGTGACTATCATTCCAGAACAGATTCAATGCATTATTCAACTGTTACCAATTTTCCCCTTGTTTTAGAGAAAGACAAGTTAAATATTCCCAGGCTCAGCTTTCAGGCACAAAACTTACAGACTCACTCTCCCCTTTCCTGTTCCCAGCATTAAGAGAGTCTCTTCACTATTAGTCCTTGGGGGCTAATTAAAGCAATTAGTGTCACCTCTGCAGTCATATATTTCACACCACATTCAACATGGTGGTAATTAAACAGATTACCAACATAATTGACTTAAATTAGTGATAATTCTCTTTTCCACTAAACTTTTATAATTCTAGCAACATAAATTTCAGCTGTTTGAATGCCTAATCGTTTTTCTATCGAGGGAGGTTAAGGTACTCTGTTATATCTTGATTAAAAGACAAGAACAAGACTTTTCACACACAAGAATATTTAAATGGAATCCCTTTGTTTGGAACCAAATTCAATGGTTTTTGAACAGGGGTTCTTATCCAGAATTCCATCAGACTTAGCTGTGGAGATTTTAAAACTCCTGATGCCTAAGCCTATTAGCCAACTTATGTTCTTCTAATATACTAAGAGTGAAAGTATTGCATTAATAAAGAACATCCCTCTAAATATTTTATAGAAGTAGAAAAAGGTGTATTTCCTATCCAGGCTCATTTTAAGAATTATTTATTGTGCCATTTTCCCACAATTTTTCAAGCAGAGTGTGGTAAATTTGCATAACAGATCTAATATTGCAGTGCATGGTCCTGCTATTTTCCCAATCTGTCTTCTATAGCAAGCTGCATGAGGACTGAGTTTCAAACTGACTAGAATGACTTATGCTGACGGACCTTGGCTGTGCCACTTACAAAAGTTGCTGGGAGGTTCTGACCAAGAGCAGACATGGAAACACGACCCTGGCACATCAGAGCCCTGGGAAACAGAGGGGCAAATTGAATGAAGATAATGGTAAATGTTTGAGAAATAAGCTGCTGGAATATGGTAGAGAAGAAAATCTCATTTATAATCCACATTCATAGCCATGCAAATAAATCTCCCAGTTCCCATTAAAAATGAAGGTCAGAACCAACTAATGCCGTCCCTTTATCCAACAAGCTGCTTTGAAAGATTCTAACATAGTGATTAAGGAGTGGGTAGATATGAATTTTACTCATGCCACTTACTAACTGTGGGACATTAGACAAGATACTTAAACTCTTTTGACTCAATCTCATTATCAAATGAACATAATAAAAATAGCTATGCCATTAAAAAGCTTCTGCACTGCAAGAGAAACCACCAACAAAGCTAAGAGACAGCCTGCAATGTGGGAAAAAATTTTAGCAGCTGTACCTCAGACAAAGGACTACTATCTAGAATATATAAAGAACTGAAAAAAATCAACCCCCCAAATTCAAAGACCCAATTCAAAAATGGGCATCTGAAATGAACAGACATTTCTCAGACAAAGTAAAAGTGCCAAATAAGCATATGAAAAAATGTTCAACATCACTGGTCATTTGAGAGATGCAGAGGAAAACAACACTGAGATTCCACCTCACCCCACAAAGAATGGCTGCTATCAAGAAATCAACCAATAACAAATACTGCCAGGGGGTGCAG